GAGAGATCTTTAAAAAAATGGTTCGAACACATGCATCATTGCTCCTGACAGAAAGTCAATATAGCCGACATAGAAGGGGACAATTGTCTATGGACACCTACTTATTTACTTATATAGCTCTTTAGGTAAATAAGTAAATAACGTACAACAACTAATTTGCCGAGTAAAACAATGTACGTCCTTCTCTGGATTCCACTCTGCAAATTTTATCTATGAGCCAAATATGTGGGGTGGGTTTCCCTTCGATGTTTTCTTTTTCTTTGGTTGTCTCTCCGTTACAAATTTAGACCAACAATAATAACAATAACAATAATAAGCCTTTATTTCATTAGACGAGGTCGGCTGCATGAATTGCAAGACGCTATTGTGCTCTATCATTTATCAAACTTTTAGGAATATTATTAATTAAGAGATCGCGTTCAACAACTTCCAAAAGTGTTCTCTTAGACCTTCCTTTACACCTCTTAATCGGATTCAAAGTTATATGTTCCACTCTTCTCACTGGTGCCTCCCTTGGTCTTCTTTGTACATGCCCAAATGATCTCAACCGATTTTCTACCATTTTTTCCTCAATAGGTGCTACCCTTACTTTTTCGAGTATGTGCTCATTTCGAATTTTATCTTTATGTGTATGTCCGCACATCCATCGTAACATTCTCATCTCTGCTATTCCAACTTTATGCTCTTGTTGTCCCGTTAGAGCCCAACATTCACTACTATATAACATTGCCAGTCTGATAGTAGTGCGATAAAACTTTCCTTTAAGTTTATTAGGAACCTTACGATTGCAAATAACTCCTTTAGCTTTTCTCCAATTAAACCACCCAGCTTGAATCCTATATGAAATATCTCCACTGATTTCGTCATCATTTTGAATAATGGCTCCCAAATATCTAAACTTTTTCACTTGAGGTATAATTTGATCTCCCAATTTTACTTCTAAATTATTATCGAATAGTCTCTTACCAAATTTACAATATAAATATCCCGTCTTACTCCTACTCAGATGGAAACATTTCGACTCCAATGTCCTCCTCCATAACTCAAGTTTGCAATTAACTTATTCTCTTGTCTCTGCTATAAGAACTATATCATCCGCAAAGAGCATACATTTGAGAATTTCCGCTTGAATATGTTCCGTCAAAATATTTAAGATCAAGTTGAACAGATAATGACTCAGAGATGATCCCTAATTAAATTTAGACCATTTAAATTAAATTAATATTTTTTAAAATTATTAAATTTAATTTAACGGTCCAGAGCCATAATAATATCTCCTTTTTTCTCCTATGCAAAGAAGAGAATCAAATTCACAAATATATAAATTTCCTAGTGACCCACAGATATATTCACTGATTGGATACTTTCATATCATGGGTAACAACTATGAAGGCTTCATCTTCACTAATAAATATGTTTAAATTATTCTGTCGGCGTTTAAATGTTGAATTTCTCTCGCAATCAAGAACCAAGTAAAATGTCACAACAACATATCACTTACTATGAGCAATCAAAATTAAACAATTTCGTCTTAAACCAGAGTTGTAAAAGCAATCTGTAGAAATTGAACATTCATCAGAATTGGATGAGGAAGTACTCCATTTACCTCTTTGATTAAAAGAGAAGCTGAAATGTTACTTTGACTTCCAACTTTGATATTTGAATGACATTATTATAGCTTTGTCGCTGGATATCCATCTACATGCAAAAGAATGCTTACACAATAACATTTAGAAACTGCAATTCTCACCTAAATAATAATAAGAAAGATTACAATGAAACCACATTCATTTCCAACTTCAGTTATTTATAAATCAAAAATTACATTTGCCAGGAATATAACTATTGGTCATTCTCTTCTTTCCACAGTGCCATCAACTTTACAACATTTCACCTTCTTATATTAACAGATCATCAGGCAAAATATGGAGTAAACTGGGGAAGTCTTACCCAACTAATAGACATTATTCTTGATTTCACAAATAATAAATTTAACCAAAAATCGATGCCTATTGGATCCAGTCACATTGAAAAAGTAAATAGATATTAATTACTTCCTAAGGTCCATCATAGCTCTGAGAATTTTAAGAACATCATGCACATGACAAGGCCAATTAAAGGAATACAAAGTATCAACCTTCACCAAAGTTATATATAAACATGTGTAGTTTATTTAATTTGGTTTTTCCTTTCTAATATAATTAAGGTCCATCTCTAACATTTCCTTTCTTTCTTTCTTTCTTTTTTCACCTCTAACGCATCAACATCACATTCACACCTCTAAAGGGCATATTAACTGAGATCGATATTGATTACAACTCCTATTAAATTCAAAGGCAAAATATCAACAATGGAAGATTCTTGAAAGATTTTAATATCTTACAAGAAGCTTGGCTACATCGAATTCTTATTAAAAACAATAATTTCACCTATTAATTTGTTAATATTTATTTATTAAAAATCTTTTTAAGAAATAAATTTATAGCAGAGTTCTTTATTATGTTGTCTCTAAATTTAACGGATGATCGGAAAAGCAGGGGTAATTAATAAGAAGTGGCCATGTCTACATTCTCCTTTGCTTTCTCCTTTCTATTTTTCATGGAGAACATGGAAAGTGGAAAGCATTTTCCTTACGGCCACTTGTGGTTTAATATTTTTTTAATGGAGGAATATGTGATAAAATAGAGTACAGAGCAATTCATTTGTAGATGTATGTTCTTAAGGCAATGTATTATAACCATTTAAATATGAGATGTTAAAATTAAATCTTTAAATATAAAAAGTAGTTTTTAAAAAAAGGTAACTATCATTGAATTCGATAATATTTAAATTTAATATATGAATAATTGATTTAGAAATTTATTAAAAATAATTTATTTTTAAAAAAATGAGTTATCATCTATCTTGTGCATTGAAAAACATTATTTAATTAAAAAGAATAAAATGACGTGGCTCTGTATATAAGAATTTCTCAATTCACTCTTTTTGTACTCAAACTTCAACTTTTTCCACGAAAATAATGGACACGGAAAAGAAAAGAAAAAAAGAAAAGAAAAAGAAAAGAAAAGTTTATTAAGGGATTCAGCTGTAACTGCATCATTATTGTCGTGTCACTTTCATATGTAATCCCGACACCACCAACATCCCATCATCCATCATTATTTTCCCAGTCCCATGGACCCATTCAAGCACGGTGACTTGATAATTAAGAAAATGATAATAAATTTATTTGAATTATGTAAATAAAATTTTAATTTATTTTAAAAAATTATAACTTTTTTAAAGTCACTAAAAATTTTTTATTATTAAAAAATTAATGTAAATGATCAATTGGTCTTAGTTTAAAATTTTAAATGTGAATTTGTGAATTACTATTATATTTTATAATTTTAAGAAAAAAATTTATGAATTTTAAAATAAAATTTATAAATGCTAATTGATATTTGTAATATTTAGAAATATCAAAATTTTAAATGTGAATTAATAAATTATGTTGAATTTTTGTGGATTTAAAAAAATTGTTAATCTTAAAACAAATCTTGTGAATAGCAATTGATATTTAAATTAAAGATAATTTAATTATTT